TTAAACAATTTAGTATTTCCCTTCATTACAAATGCAGACCACAAACCACCAATAATACTTGTACCTTTGCCATTTACAGAAATTACAGATATATTCATACCATACTGCAGTTGTTGGATATCTCGAAATATCATTGACTCCATCACTGTTTCAAAAGTACCATAACCCCTAGACCTGCTGCCAAATCTTGTTATTTAATGTGTGAATAAAAAAGCACATATGCTACTGCATCACACATTTTTTAAATGTTTTGGTAACTGAATGTCCATATAATTGGCTTTCTTTGTCATCCTATGCGTTTTACTTTATGCATCTAAAATGTTATTATAAGAAGTGTTATAGAGCCCTTGTAAGGTAGCTCCATTGGTTAGAGTATCATCCCAATATGCCAAGGTTATGGGTTCAATCCCCAGTCAGGGAATACACAAGAATCAACCAATGAATGCATAAATAAGTGGAAAAACAAACTGATGTGTCTCTCTCCCTCCCTCTCTGTAAAATCAATCAATAAATTTTTTTTAAAGAAGCACTATAAGTTTCACCAGATTTACAAAGGGGTTCTTGGCACAAAAGGTGTTTAGACCCCCCCATAAACAGTCCTCCTTGTGATCATTCTTAATACTATTCAATCCACTTTTCATGTGGAAAAGCAGAGTGAGCTTTTTAAAAGGTAAGTAAAATGAAGACATTCTCCTGTTTAAACCTGAAACAAATGCACACTCCTAACTGGGACTGACCTGGCTCTGCAGGGTGATTTTACCCTGCTCAGGGCTCTTACCTGGTCTTGAACTCCTCGATCCATCTGGGCCCCGCTCACTCTGCTCCAACCATACTGTCCAGCTTTCATTTCTTTGAAATCTCCAAGCAGTTTCCCACTTCAGGGACTCTGTCCTTGCTGTCCCCTCTGCCTGGAATGACTGCTCTTGAAGCAGCCACTTCATTCTCATGCTTCAGTGATGAGCCAGGAAATCACCCCCACAAAAAAGCCTTCCTCACTAACCTATGCCAAGGCCCCTCCCCTCTCCTGTCCTGCCCCCTCTTAGTTCCTGTTTACTTCCTTCAGAGCACTTATAACAACATAATTATATTGATTTTTGTTCATTACTAAATCCTGGCATCTAGCAAGGTGCCTGGCACATGTAAATACCTGACATTCACTGAATCCGTGAATAAATGAGAGAATAAGTAAATGAGGAAGCTATTATTAATCTATTTTGCAAGTAAGGAAATTGAGGCTCAAAGATGTTCAATTATTTGTCCAAGGTTGCCCAGTGGCAAAGTTATTATTTTAACTGTGGCCCCTAGGCTCTAATCCCCTTTCCATTTTTTTCTAACTCCCTTTGCCTTGCTACATTTCAGCCAATTTGTGGAAAACAGAATAGACCCAGTGCAAGTTTTTATGGTATGATTTCTTGGGACTTTAGTGCCCATTGCTCAAGGATACCTGATTAACCCTCAAAGCCACTTCCCTTGAGTATTTCCAGAAAGGAATATATACGTGGATATGGTGATTCTTTCTGTTTCTGTTTCTCTCTACATACATACACACACACATTTTTTTTTTTACTTTTGAATCTTATAACCCTAAATACAAACAATAAAATCAAATGCAAGGAATAAAATTCAGAAAAGGATAAACTAAGGAAGAAAAATATTAGATAAACTTGAGGTAAATGCTTATACACAAAAGTACCTGTGATTAGGGACTGTATACAAGTGTATGTGTACCAGAATCCTGGCCCTATGCTTCTTAAGAGCCAGCATAAAGTAAAAAAACATGATCAGCTACATGACACATTCTGATGATTTAAAAATTCAATCAGTTTCCAGGAGGAGCACAACTAACTATTCCTGTTTCTAAATCCTGAGAGAAATTCCTCTTGTGGGTCCTCATAATGAAAGCATGGTAAGACAAAGTAATCAGTATTCTAAACTACAACCTTATAAATAAATATACCAAGTTTCATAGAATGGTGTCCTATAGCATCCCTTAACAGACGTGGCTGGTATAATGCCAAAATCCATGTAGCAATGTTTTGCCTTGCTATTCAAAGCATGATCCCTGGCCACACGCATCAGCATCATCTGGGCACTTGTTAGAAATGCAGAATCTCAGGCCCAATCACATGCCTGCTATAACAACTGGTATTAATGACATCTACAGGTGATTCCTATGAACATTAACACTGAACAAGCACTGATCTAGTGGTCAGGCTTGATCCGAGGCAGAATTTTAAGAAATTAGTATTCATTCATTCATTCATTCAACAAATATTTACTGAGACCTTGGTGGCAGGAAAGTCTTTTTTAAACATGACACCAAAAGCACCACCATAAAGGAAAATATTGATAAATGAGACAGCACTGAAACTGAATGATAAAGCAAGCCATAGAGTATACACTATTTGCAACACCAAATAAAGGAAAGTTGAGAACCTAAGTATGTACCAGCCACTGTCTTAATGCTGGGAATATACGTAATAAAACAAAAATTCTACTCCTATGGAGCTTACATTCTAATTGGAGAAGACATAAATCAACAAAATAAGTAAAATGAAGCAAGAAAGGGGCATAAGTCATGGAATGGGGTTGCAGTTTTAAATAGGGTGGACAGGGAAGGCCTCATTAAGGAGGTAACGACCTGTACAAGGTCAGGGAGCTAGCTATAAAAATAGCTAAGAGAAGTCTTCCAAGCAGAGGGAACAACCTGCAAATAAATGTCTGAAACAGCAAGGCCAGTGTGGTTGAGGCAAAGTGAGCAAGAAAGAGAGTTGATATGCAGGGGGCCAGGTCATGTGGGGCCTTGTCGGCCATTTTAAGTGTCTTAGCTCTAACTGCAAGTGAGACGGGAAGCATTGGACAAAAGGTAATAGGGAGCCATTGCAGGATGTTGAGCAGAGAAATAACATAATGCAAAGTGTTAAGGAATGGCTTTGAGTGAGAGAATCCAGCTCAGAGTACAGTGCACTAATCCCAGTAAATGGTAATTCATTCAACTATTAGGTGCCAAAAATGTGCCAAGTAGCGAGGGGAGGATCTAGACCAGGTTGATAACTCAGGGAACTGCCAGAGGAAAATGACTCTAAATGACATTGAAGGGAAACAAACTCAGGACATAATGACAGATTATTTATAGAGAATTGACAGAAGTTTGCAATTCAATTTAATCAAGGTTTATGGATCATCTACTGAGGGCAAAGCCATATCCTGGCTAGCACATAAGGGGTGGAGATGGTGCGTAAGACTTGTATTTTTCCTTCAAAGGGCTTCCAGCCTGGCATACTTAGCCCCTGCCTTTCCTCTCCCTTTCTAGCCTCAACTTCATGGATTGCCCCAACTGAGGCTGACAAAAACTAGCTGATTTGCTCCGGTGAAGAGCTGTCTCTTTACCCTCAGAGCTGTTCTATCTCCTAGGAGCGGGAGCCAAAACACTTCAACTTAATTAGTATAAAAAGACAGATCTGGTTTGGCAGCAGGTCAGAAGAGAGGTCCCAATAAATGTCTTAGTGTATCAGCCTTGCAGACTGTCCCTGGGACCCTAGTTTTGGGGAATGGAGTCCCTCTGGTCTGTTTCCACTTGTATGACCTGATGAGTCTCCCACTCTGCCATTCCATTATAGAGAAAAGGCCCCGCGGCACTGAAAGGGTAATAAGAGAAGTTTAAGGAAAGCAAGTGGGAAAGTAAGACTTTGAAAATTGCCTACTGCCAGACAGCAAGGTCTGAGGAGCAGATGCAAATGTAATGCAAATGATATGTAAATAGTCCTGTGGCCTTCTAAAAGATTTTATACAACTTGGAAGGGCCCTTGAGAAACTGGTAGCAGAAAATAGTGACTCAGAGGCAGAGTGACTATTTCAAGAAAACTTTGTCACACAGATCTTTGCTGCCCTGCTAGCACAGAGCAGTCTTTAGTAATCTTTTCTCTCACTTGAATCAACCTCACCTTCTATAAATAAAAAAATCAAGTCTGCCTCTGTAAAGGTTATCTAAGTGAATTACACGTTTAAAACGCTCTGTTTACCTTTAATTTTTCTTCAAGCGTCTCTCTCACCTAAATAAAGGCTCCAGTGGATTATGAATGAAAGAGCTTCTCAGTTCTAGTTACTATGATCCTTAGAATTTTGTTCCCTACTCTACAGGAACTAACACATTCTCTTCTAATATCCACACACTATATCCAAACTTAATCCAGGGAAAAAAAAAAGCCTATATCTGGTTGTGAAATCCAGTTCACTTCAAGGAGCCACTGGAAAGCTATTCATTAAGAAAACCTGCCCTGTCAAGTACGCTGTCTTTTTGACAATCCTTACTAATCATTTCAAAATGAAAAATGCACATTTGATTACAATTGGGTACAATTCTTTCTACATTTATGTATTTAAAAAGAGGACACCCCCAACAGATACGAATTTTGTAAGAGCCGTAAGATGAACTGAATAGTAAGCGCATCAAACCTACAGCTGGGCAGTTATTCTAGGTTACAGACCCGGGAGTCACAGAAGCAACTGACCTCCACATTAGCGATGGAAACCATGATGACATAATCAGCCCCCCAAACTCCATCACTTTTCTAGTACTCTAACATTCGAGTGTACTTCAGCTTTTGACAAGAGGGTCAAAGGAAGGGAAATCCCTTTCGTTTTAGGTGTTTTTAAAAGCTCATTTGAAAGGGCCTCCAGAAAGCTACTGGGCGAAGAGGAATTTAGTCAGATGGCACGTTCAGCGGAAAACCCGGACAGCTCAAAGACGCGGAATCCCAACAATGAGAGAGTAAAAGGCGGGGTGGGAGGGGGCGGGAAATGAGGAAACAGAGAAAAGCAGAGATAAACCTCAAGAGAGTGAAGAAATGACAGCGCTTAGAGTAACAAAGAAATGGAGAATGGCCAGGGGCACTGCGCCTGGAGCCTGGAGCCCCAGCCCAGGAAGGACAGCGGGGTAGGGCCCTGGAGGCAACGAGCAACCCCCCCACCCCCACCCCGCTGCCGGGGCTACCTCTTACCTCCTGGGCGAGTTTCTGCTTGAGCACCAGTGCGGCACACAGGTAGCCCGCGCGGCCCACGAACAGCTCGTCGGAGCCACACTCCAGGAAGGAGACGGGCGCGCAGACGGCACACAGAGCTCGGAACTTGCCCAGCGGTTGCACGTAGTCAGACCGGCCCAGGGCGTGGTACACGAGCGTAGCCACGGCATACACGCCCGCGCCCCCCAACAGGAAGGCTGCGCGGGTGTCGGCGTCTGGCTCGCCCCACTCCTCAGCGCGGGCGCACGCGTCTATGAGGCGCTTGGCCGAGCGCAGGTAGCGCTCCCGGGCCCCGGCAAAAAGCGGGCTCTGCGAGACGTGGTAGAGCATGTAGGCCACCCCGGCGATGCCGCCGTACAGCCCCCCTTGGCAGCTGCTGGCCGCGGCCGCCGCCCCCCGGGCCTCAGCGCCGCCCGCGAGCGGGGGCAGCTCCTTGAGGATGCGCTCGATGGTGGCGGTGACTAACGGTGCCACCGCCTCCTCGCACTGGCCAGCCAGCAGGCTGCCCTGGTAGTCATCGAAGCGGTTGGCGAAGCAGCGCTTGGTGTCCATGCTGCTGCCTGTGCCCCCCAACGCCGAGCCGGGGTCCACTTGAGGGCGCGTCCTGCAGCCCCGCACACCACCTATCGCTTTCTGCGGCGCTTGGAGAGTGGTAGATTCGGCTGGGATTGAGCAAAGAGGCTGGGACGGGAGGTGACAAGAGGAGGCGGGCGCGAGGAAGAAGCACGGACCGGATTGCCAAGTGGGCCACACGGCTGCCGCGAGGCTACCGAGTGGCCACCGAGTGGCCGGGACGAGCGCGGGGGTTGTGCGCCGCCCGTCCCCCTCCCAGAGGCCGCGCCCTCTCCGAACCGCCCCCTCCTGCGCCGCCGCAGCTAGGCTGCCTCTCTAAGGGGCCGAGGTGATCTCTAGCAGGACCCACGCGGAGCCCGCGCCACTCCTCCCGCCCCGCCCCCAGCTCCTCCCCTCTTGGCGGAAGGCCAAGGAAGCGCGGGACAGCGATTCCGAATGCTGAGGCTAAGCAGAAGCACACCTGGCGGTCGAGGTGGAGACCTCGAGTACCTTGTCTATTTACTCTGTGTGGTCCTGGAGTCAGCAGATCAGCATCACCTGGAAGTATGTTAACACTGCAGCATCTCAGACTTCGCTCCAGACCTAGTGAATCCAAATCAGCATACTAGCAACCTCCCCAAGTGATTTCGCATGCACATTAATTTGAGATGTCACTGAACTAGAGTACTAGTAAAAAACTGAGCGCCCTCCTGAAACTTGTTTTTCATCTTGGTCACTTTGGAGTTCTCATTCTGAATACTTAAATCCCAAAGGCTGAGAGGTTTGAGTACTTCACGTTTCGTGCATTAAAATGGTTAAATGCTCCATAAGGAAACTGTTTCTTGGCCTTGGTTGTTGTGACGTTTTTCTCGGAGTATGCAGATGTAAAAATTCAAAGAACCACACCAAGTTAAGGTAAGAGGGCGAGAGGGTAAGAGGGTTCTGTCTTCTACTCTGGAGACCTCTCCTCCCCCATGTATGCATAGTAAGAGCTCAATAAATATCTGAGGTCATCAGTTATAGAATAAGGTTAATATAAGCGTAAATGCTGCGCTAGAATTTTAAGTAGGCTTTTTACCCTTTTCTGGCTGTCCTGAGTTACCTCTTTCCCTCCCTTCCTTCATTCCCATGTTTCTTCTGCTTTCCTTCTGAAGACATTATTGAGGGTCTCCTGTGAGTCCTGGACTCTGGATATAGAGGAATAAACAAACAAACAAAAAAAGACATGATTCTAGACCTCTCGGAGCTTACACTCCAGTGGGAAAGGCAGAAAATGAACACACAATGAGCAGCCTTTGTTTTGCTCTGCTGTTCTAAAATAATTATTCCTTTCCCCACCCTGACCAGTGTGGCTCAGTTGTTTGGGTGTCATCCAGCAAAGTGAAAGGTTGCTGGTTGGGTTCCTGCTCAGGGTGCATGCCTGGGTTGTTGGTTTGGGGCACGTGTAAGAGGCAACAGATAGATGTCTCTCTCCCTCTCTTTCCCCCTCCCTTCCCCTCTCTCTAAAAAATAAATAAATAAAATGTTTTTTTTTTAATAAAATAAAATAATTCTTCCTTTCCCAAAGTGTCAACCAGTGAAGGCCAGATGTCACCTCTCCTGAGGTGTTTGCATTTTGATAGGGACTGTGCAAGACACAAAAGAAGTGACTCATGGAAAAGTTTCTGACACTTTGTGGGGAGAGCAACTGCTCCCGCACAAGACTTAACTTGAAAGGCCAGTTTTGTTTGGAGGCATTTTTTTTCCTCAAAAATGTTAATTGTTACAATGATTTTGGTAGCAGAGATTAAATAGCCTGCCCCTTCATCCTTATTTGATGCATTCTGGAAAAGGAGCTCTCTTTGCCAAGATTACTGCCAGAACTGACATCCACATAGTGGGTAGTATGGCCTCCATATTGCTATCACACTGCCAAAACAGGTTGATTTTTAAATATAATATTAAGCTTAGTCCTTTTAGACAGAGAGCTTGATGTCATTTACTTAATTCCCAAGCAGTATTATTTATTTTAATGTCATGACCCCACTAGCATACACTGTCCTCGAGGGTCAGGCTTTTTGTTACATTTACTTACTGATAGCACCAAGAGCCTAAAATAGTCCCCAGTGCATGTAGTAGACATTCACTAAAAGTTTGTGGAATTGTTAATGAATTGCCATAAGAGCACCATTAGCAAGGTGTCCTGGAGTTTAAAATGCAGAGTGAAGCCTTTATTGAAACTTTAACCTGACTTGATTAAATTCCTTCTGTTTTCTTGGATTCTTTTGCTCTTGTGAGTGCAAGAATATAAACATTGTGCAGTTTCTGCCTCCTTACTTTGTTTCTGAATAAAGCCCAGTGACCTCTATACTTTACCTTGAATTCAGTGACTTCACACATTCTATTTTTAATAACTAATCCTGTGTAGCAGATTATATTTTCCAAATATGGTCCCAATAATATGTCCTATGCCACATGCTCCTCTACAATGTGACCTTGACATTCTTCTCATCAGGGTGTAAGGTATATGTCCCCTCCTTTTGAATCTGAGTGGGCTTATGGTTCACTTATACCCAATAGAACACGATGGAAATGACACCTCATGACATACTATGCGAGGTCATAAGAAATGATGTAGCTTCTATCTTACATGCAGAAATGCTCATATTGGGAGTCCTGAGCCACCTTGTAAGAATCTTACTACCCCAAGGCTGCCAAACTGTGAGGAAGTTCAGGCAACGTAAAGAGGTCATGTGCAGGTGCTTGGGTCAACAGCATAGCTGACAGCACCAACTGGCAGCCATGTGTGTGAACCACATTGGATATACAGCTCAATCAAGCTTTCGGATGACTGCAGCTCCATGAGAACTGCCATCCCAAGCCCTTCCACAATTCCTAACCCACAATATTATGAGCAAAATGAAATAGTTGTATCAGGCCACCGAGTTTCGGGGTAATTTTTTATGTGGGAAAGGCAACTAGAATATCCTGCTAGCTTCCCATAATTCAATACTATAGAAGTACCCTATAATCAATAGTGCTCACTCAAAAGGGCAACGACTAGTTGGACAGAGGCATATTTTGGGGGAATCTGGACCAGGAGACAAGAGGTATGCAGGCACACAGAAAGTTGTGTTCCAAAGTAATAATTCTAGTTGGATTCTTTAAAGGCAGCGGTGACCCCACAAGAAATATGCAACCTATACAAAATCTTGCCAAAGCCATTAATTTTGCCCTTATCTGCAAGATCTTTCCTGAGAGTTACAGAATCTCTAGCATCATTTGCTGACAGGCAGCTCCCTACACATGGTTTCTGTGATCTTGCTGAATTGTCCAGTTCATAGTTCTTCTTCAGTATTTCCTGATTGTGCAGATTATGCGAAACTATGGATGGAAAATAGTTTTAAGTGGGTTCATCAAGGAAATCACTTAAAAATTATGCAAAAACTATCCAGGAACAAGTATTAAAATTGAAGGGTTCCTCTTATGCAAATCATTGTTATCTAAGGGTGAATATGAAAAAAATTGGTAATTGTATAACTGTAAAACCTTAACACTTAAGGCTTAGTATACTTTATGGGATAAACCATCTTAAAAATACATTCAGAATACTTTGCATCCTGGAAATGGTTTAGATAACTTAATCAGTGCTAAGTTCAGTCCTCAGAGTACATTTTCTTTGGAGACACATCTCTGAATTATTAGCTTAGCAACTTAATTGCAGACTTCTCCTGTTTCGGCTCTTTTGACCCAACAGGCCCTTCTCAAAACAGCAGCCAGACTGATATAGGTCAGATCCTGACTTCTGATTAATGTCAGTGTTTCACCTGTCCCTGAAAGTAAAATCCAGAGTTCCCAGAATGGCCTAAAAGGCCCACTGCCTCCTGGCCCTCATTAGTTCTCTGACCTCTCCTCTTATTCCTCTTCCCCTTGCTCCTTCAGTTCCAGCCATGCCGGCCATCTTGGTATTCCTTAAACATACTAGTCATAGTCTTACTCAGGATCTTCCTTCACAGTTTCCTATTCCTGGAATGCTCTTCTAAAGATATACTCATAGCTTGCCCCTCACCTCTATCTAGGACATTGAAATCTCCCATGACTTACTATTTTAAATTACAATCTTTCCCTCCAACCATTAGTATCTTATAACTATATATTTTACCAATGTATGCTATTTCTTGTTCTTCCTCCACTAGCATGCAATCCCCATGAGGACAGGAGTTTTTGTCCCTGTTGCTCCCTACTTTATCACCAGTACCTAGATTAATGCCTGGCATGCAGTATTTGCTCAAGAGATATTTATTGATGCCTGTGATACCCTTCACAATGTCAAAATTTCTACCAGTTTCTAATTGATGGCTAAGCTTTGCTCTCTCCTTTCTTGACTGGTTTCTTGATCCTGCTCCTTTGCACAAGCAACCATAAAAACATGCATGTTAACATAGAGTTTGTTTCTCTTTTTTTTGTGTTTTTCTCTACATCCAGTATTACCATTTTAAAGCATTTTTTAGCCATTATATGTCAAACATGATCACCAGTACACAATACAATGGCAGAATTAGAAACCAGTGCAATAAGTGAGCTGGCACTCATCACTCCATCTGAAAGAGGGACTGTGCATTTGATCAATTACATTGGCCAAGATCAAGTTGTAAGACACATCCCAACTTACTGGATATGAGAAAAATAGATGTCAATTAGAATTTTAGGTACCATAATATGTGTATGGATGTGTTATTTGAATGCACTATAATAAATCACTGCTGTGTGTGGCAGTACTAAAACAGATATGTCTCCATTTGACGCTGATGAATCTGTGTAAAGATACCTTAAATTGGAAAGTAGAGATGGAGGCATTTCTTTGGTCAAAGTGAATTCTTTAATCTGAAAATTATGACAGTTTCCTAGATGTCATCATTTCTAACATTTTCTCCAATATTTAGAATGTTAGGAAGAAAGGAGTGATTAAGAATCTCTATGGTATTATGGTTCAACAGCTGTCAAATAATAACCTAGTTGTG